TTACTTCGGTACTTTTGCGTCAAGCAAGTCAAGATAATAAGGAAATAGGTGTCATGGGGCATATTCGATGTTCTTGGTCACCAAATGTGTGTAAAAGTCAGAATGTTGTCACATAATAATCATACAAGGACTTCTCATACAACCCCTCCCCCTCCCCAACTTACACAACGTACGAAGTGTTGAAGGACACATGCATGTATCCGAATTCGGCAAATGCACTCGTTTTAACACGCCATAAACTGATGCAAATTGACTCTCTTAACACTTACCTAGTCGCCTGGAAGGCTGCTGCTGTTTGGGGTACGACACGTTTGAGCAAAGTGCCGTTAGAAACGAGCGAACGAGTGGCAAAACCCAAAAGGGTCGACGCCATTTTGATTTCTGCACTGCTTGGGTCCTCAGACTTAGTAGCTGTCTATATTTTACATGCCTAAGATTCTATTCTCAGAAAATCCTTTTAGAAACTTACGAGGACATTAAATACATCAAACAGCTAAATAAATTGTTAAACTTTTATATATATATATTTTGTTCAGTTTGGGTGAGAAATGTATGCATCATACCATAAATGTGAGGCTTAAACAGGCATAAAACTGGCGGGCAGCCTCCAAAGAGTTTTGAGGAAGAAGTTGCCAGGTGTGCAAGGTCCATGAAAATGGCTCTACACAGCAAAACGTCTGAAGAGCAGGAAGACTCTGAAATTCACATACTACACAAGCCAGAAAGATTTCTGGGTCCTCTTGAAGAAATAGGCACAAAGACCATAACCGTCCGCCAGTTGAAAGGTGGGTTCTACACATTTATTATAGACATAATAGGCACAAAGACCATAAACCGTCCGCCAGTTGAAAGGTGGGTTCTACACATTTATTATAGACATAAGACAGCTGTTCAAAGTTCAAAATTGGTCTTCAAAACACAACTTGTAAATTGACAACTATGAAATGAGGACTTTTTTTCTGAAGGTTCTTAGGACATTTGTATCAATTTGTTACTATAAATGTTAGTCTCCACCAGACTTTGGGAGGCAGCTTGAAAGAGTAGAAATTTGCCAAATAGAGATAACATGCAAGAGGAATTGGTTTAGCGAACCAACTCTTCTGGCATGTTATCTCTCTATTTGGCCAATTTCTACGTACTCTTTCCAGCCGCCTCCCAAAGCCTGGTAGAGGCTATCAATTTGTACTGATTGTCAAGTTCCTTGTTTCTCCTCCTCAGCACTTGGAATCATCAAGAACAACGATGACGAGGTGAGGAAAGAAAGGCGTGACCTCCTGGCACTTGTTCTTCGTGTCTTGAATGATGTAAGCAACAAATACAATGAAGTCAACGACAACATCTTTAATGAAGAAACATTCCAAGATTCAGGTACATATTGGATTCTCTCTTTCCTGTGAGAATTTGCATTAAGACTTCAGATATCCCCTTGTCCAGGCATCATTTTTTCTCTAACTTCAGTCTAAGGTTACGTATTAGTTTAAGGAAATGTATATATGTACTACATGTATCTCTTTTTCAGATGAAAGGTGGGTGTGTGCAAAGCTCTCACCACTTTTCCACATCCACTTTCTCCGGAGGACGTACGCTCCAAGTCTTCTGCTTGACTACAAGGCTCGATGCATGATGCAAGATGAACTGGAGGAGCTCTCAGAAGACGAAATACAGCGCCTCGAAAGATGTGCCGAGAGGCAGAGGCAAAGCTACATCACCAAGTGCAAGGAGTATTACCAGGAGATCTTTACCACTGACAGAGACCACCCCATGAGGACCATTGACTTCATCACCAGGACCCTGATAGATTTCATCATGGTCCCGTTGAAGGACGAGAGGATCGGCAAGGACCATGAGTATGTGGAGGAGGACTACTACATCTACATGCACGCCATAAGGGCACTGGCACCTTACCTCAACACCTGCGCCAAGTCAGAGGTCCAACGCT